ATCGATATATTTTTATACTATAACTTGATAAGTTGTGCACTTGCAATTTTGGTACATAATTATGCCGCAACAGGACACTTATTATTAACATCTCTATCAACTTTCTTGTTGTAACCTTTGCAAACATAGAACCACTGCTCAATTCTATTATAAATGCTAATTATCGTTGCCTTAAAGGTGTGATAGTATGTCTGTATATTGGTAAATTATTCTTAGGTTTAATTGTATAAATTTTAGAGTATGTTTTCTAAGATCATAAATCTTTTAAATGTTATAATAGTTGTATATATTAGTAATTTGAATTTATGTTGTATTTATAAAGAGCATTAATGGAGATGCTTTTGTCTTGGCAACTTTCTCTGAAAAAGTGTTGCATTTAGCTTTAAAATATAATATTTTTTATGGTGTTATATGGACGTTTGCTTGGTTTACTTACTATTATCTTATTTCTTCACTAAGTTGCATCTTTGGGTTGATATATAATAGTGACGAAATTTACGATGGCATGCATATCTCCTCTATAAATTTGAGATAGATATAAGGTGAATTTTATATTTAGTGGCATTTAATAATAATTTTAGTAATGAAATATATTACCTTCATATTTAGAGATCTTGAAATATAATAGTGCTATTACATCATTATTTTTGATTGTGTCTTTAATAATTGATCCTTTGTTAATAGTAATACCGCTAAATAAAGTCACACGCAAGATCGTGATACTATATAAGAAAAAGAAAAATGGCAATTTTATATTTTTTTACTTACGCAGAGTCATGACATAGTAATTTTTCTTTTATTTTCTATGAAAAATGTTTCTTTGATTAGAATAAAGTTGTTCAATATATTCTTCAGAGGGGATTCAGTCAGTGCTTTTTTGATAAATGTAACTTATGTTAGTATTAATTAAAGTGATTTATGCACGTTCCGAATTCTATTTGAAATGAAAACTGCTTCATTCTTTTGAAGGATATCTCTAAATTTTCTAATAGTTCTCCATATATAAATCTTTGTAATTTTTTATCCTATAAATATTATTATCATTAGAGATCAATATTTATAAATTATAATAAATTAATGTTAAGCTATTATATTATAGTCTTTTATTACTTTTTTGTGATTTTGTTTTTTATCAATTAATGATACTTATGTATTTTTGCTGCTCTAACATATTGGTAAAATTATATACAATTACTTTAATTTATACAATAATATTAATTTTTAATCTATCATATATTTTAAAAATTTTATTCTTTGATTGGATATTTTTAATCTGTTATTATTGTTATTTTTTTATCAGCATCAACTTGACTATTTTTTTATTCTGAAAAAGGACAGTGAACCTTAAATTATAAGTTATATTTATATATGTTAATGAAAGAATATCAAACAATTACTCTTTTCTTTGCCAAGTTTTAAAATTTTAGCTTTTTATCTTGTGTAATTTTAAACTTTTGAGAGTGTTTTGTCTAATTTTTAAAATTTTTTGTTTTTTTGTAATACTTCATGTAATAAACTAATACCATAGAGTTGTTTCATATATTTTATTAATCTTATTTAAATTATTGAGCTATAGATAGTTCATGGGGTATTAGGATAGGACATAACTATGATTAGGATAGATTATAATTTAAATTAAATATTTAAAATAATACATGATAATTTTGACTATGGAAAGCTTTTCCCGAACTCGTGCTTTTAAAGGGGGTATGATTTTTGTTTTCCGTAATTTTTCTTTTTTATAATTTTGAGAATGGATTTTGTCTCTTAAATTTGTTTCGTGGATTTTGTAAATATCTCATCCACATTATGTACATTTGTAGGTCTGCATTGTTTCTAGGTTCGACTGTTGGGGCAAACATTATTTGTCTCATTAATTTGTTTGGTTTTTGCATATACGCCCTTCATTTTGTAGACATTTGTAAATTTAGCATTTTATAATTTTATTTAGATTTATATTTTAATTTAAATTATATCATTATCTTCATACTATGTATATCCAATAAGAATTCATCAATTTATTAACTTACTCTTACTTAATGGATTAATATTTGAATTCCAAGGGTATTTTTGTCTACTGAAAGATTTTCTCGAACTTGTGCTTTTAAAGAAAGTATGATATGATATGATATAAGCGATATGGTGAGATGGTTTACTCAACGTGAGATAGCCATTCTACACCATTAGATTAAAATTAATGGTTAGCTTTAAAATAATTGGTTAATTAATTAAAGATGTGTGGCCCCCACATTTATTTGATTTCATTGCCAAATCTACTCTAACTCTAACCCTAACTCGAACCCGAACTCGCTAACCCTAACCCTAACTAGATCCCTAACCCAAACCCGAACCCACTAACCCAAGTCCGAACCTGAACCCTAACCCAAACCCGAATCCGAACACAAACACACTAACCCTAACCCTAACCCGAACCCTAGCCCTAATCCGAACCCAAACCTAAACCCGAACTTGAACCCACTAACCCGAACCCTAACCCTAACCCTAACCCTTATCCTAACCCGAACCCAAATAAGAAAGAGAGGAAGCAGAAGGGATGATATGGGAAATCTTAGAGAAGATTTTGGCAGATAAATTAAATAAATGTGAGGGTCACATATCTTTAATTAATTAACTTATTAGTCTAATTTTTAACCATTAATTTGAATCTAACGGTGTAAACTA